TTTGGCCCTCTTCATACTGGATTGGTTTTGCTTGCTTCAGGATTTACAATACATTTATCTATTCACTTATTGGTAGGTATTGAGTTGTCAGTTCCTTACTATAAGCATCCTTACCATGCTGCTATGAGCATTCTTTTTTTCTTTCTTTTTTTGGGGGGGGTCTGGTTGGGGGCCTGCACTTAGGGCCTGGGCGCTGTCCCTCAGCTCTTCAGCTCAAGGCTAGTGCTCTACCACTTGAGCCACAGCGCCACTTCCAGCTTTTTCCTTTTTGCTTATGTGGTGCTGAGGAATCGAACCCAGGGCCTCAGGCATGCAAGGCAAGCGCTCTACCACTGAGCCAACTTTCCAGCCCACTATGAAAATTCTTATGTAGTCCTTCACACTCTTTTCCCTTAGGTAGGTTCACATGGAGGATCAGAGATGCTGGGCCACATGGCAGGAACTTCAGTATGGATAAGTGCCAACATCCCAGATGCTTCCAATGTTTATGTACCACATCATACCTGCCCCCCCCCCAACCCTCCCTAGGTTTTCAGCATGCATATACCAACTATGTAATCAATGAAATCCCATTCCCCCCACAAAAAAATACCTTTTCTTTTAACTTGGCATCTGAATTTTCTAAATCCATTTTCATAGTTGCTATTTCCTTTGTCTTCTCAGCAACAATCACTTTAAGTTTATCAATAGTTTCTTGGTGCTCTCTCAGATCCCTGTGTGCAATTCTCAGCTCCTCTTCCTTCTTTAGTTCCTTTCAGGAACAGTACAGATCTTATGTTACCAAGTATTTTTTAAATGATGTGATGCATTTTCTTATTAAAGAGAATGTTTTTTACTTTTTTTGTTTTTGTTGGGATTGAACCCAGGGCCTAGAGCACTTGGAACAAGTGCTTCCTACTGAGCTAATACTTAGGCTGCTTCTTTTTTGATGTGCTGGTACTGAAGTTTGAACTCAAGGCATGGGCATTATCCCTTAGCTTTTTAACTCAAGGTTTGGTACTTCACCACTTGATCCACAGCTCTACTTCTGGCTTTTTGGTGGCTAATTGGAGATAAGTCTCATGGATTTTCTGGCCTGGGCTGGCCAGATCTGATCATCAGATCTCAGTTTCCTGAGAAGCTGGGATTAAAGGGGTGAGCCTGCTTCTGCTTTTACTTCTTAAACTACATCTTTGTGATAAAGTTAGTTTCTCTTTTGGTCCTCATCCCCTGACACTTACTTGTATTTCAGAAGCAAACACATTATACATATGCTATTCAGCAGTTTCATTCAGCTTTAAGGGTTATTCTGGGCTTCCAACTAGGACATCAAATCTGTTTTGCATTTTTAAGATCTGCATAGGATTTGGACACATTGTTTATATTTACTCAGTTTCTTTCAAAGAAACAAATAGACTGTTTCTCATTTTTAATCACAAACTATAATAATAAACTATGTACGCATGTGCATATTTATGTGTTTATGTATATATATATGTATATATATATGTATACATATATAAGTATATAGTTTTCCTTAACAATTTGAGTTAAGACATATGTAGGATAGATTTCATTCTGTGGCCCAAATGCTGGCACATTGAAACCTTTGAAGAATACCAAATTGTCTGCTAAGAACCAAAATTATTCTTCACTCTTGCCAACCATCCCTTATGTCTCAAAGGTAAGTTGCTGTTGTAAAGAAACAAAATATTGCAGAACAAGGAAGAAGAAAGACTGTAATTTACCTTGGCCTCTGTTTCCCCAAGGCTGTTTCTCAGTTGATCTCTTTCTGTTTTGAGGGTTTTCTCCACAGTTCTCAGGCAACCATTTTCCTCATTAACAAATCTAATTTCTTCAAGGTTTTCTTGAAGTTTCTGAGTCAACCTGAGCTTCTCTGATTCCATGCTCTCCAGAGTTGAATTCTGGGCTTCTAGCTGTTTCTTTAATTGTTCCATTTGATCCATAGTTTCCTGGAGATCATTTTTTACTTTAAGAAGTTGCTGCTCTTTGTCTTGAAGTATTAGGATCTTGAGATAACCAGAAGTAAGTTAGGATTAAAGGTACATGTGGAAAGCCTAATAACAGTTTCTAAATTGAAGAAGCAGATCTCACTTCCTTCAATTCTAGAGTCCTTATATTGCTGCTTACACAGATCTCAAACTCCCAGTTATTTAGACAACAATAACAACACATAATAATAATACTACCTGTGCTCGGAGGGCAGCATTTGTGTTTTCTAAGTCTTCTTGCATACTAGATATTTCATCTTTCTTCTCAGAAACAATACCCCTCAATTTATCGATGGTTTCTTGGTGTTCTTTTAGATGCACATGAGCAATTTTTAGCTGCTCTTGTTTTTCCAGGTTCTTTATTGTTTAAGAAAAATAAATAGAGGAGACCAATACAATTCAAACAGTATGAAAAAGTCTACGTAAAAAGTTAAAATTTATAATTGTAACCCCTCTGTACGGTATTTTCACACATACAAAAAAAGTTAAAATTTAGCTGGGTAGTGGTAGCTCATGCCTGTAATCCTAGCTACTCAGGAGGCTGAGATCTGAGGATCATAATTTAAAGTGAGCCTGGGCAGAAAAGCCCCTGTGAGACTCTTATCTCCAATTAGCCAGTAAAAAAGAGGAGTTGTGGCTCAAAGTGGTAGAGCGTGCTTTGACCGAAAGAGCCTAGGTCCTGAGTTCAAGCCCCACAACCAAAGAAAAAGTTAAAATTTCCTTCCCCCAAGAGACATTCCACTCTTTACTACACTACTTTTGCATTTCAAACATAGTCTAGACACATTCAAACACATTCCAGTTATACTACTCTGCAACTTTATCCTCCCTAACAGGCATTTACTATTACAAGTTATTATTGCTCCTGCTTTTTTTAAAAATTTTAAATTTATTTATTGTTATTGTAAAGGTGATGTACAGAGGGGTTACAGTTATATAATGTCACTCCTTCCCTTGTTCTCTCCCAGTTTTTCCCTTGCATCTCCACCCATGAGTTGTATAGTTTATTTTCAACCTAGTGTCTAGTGAATACCACTGCTGCATTTGTTTATCCTGCACTGCTTAATGCTGTGATTGTGCCAATATAAACAGTCCCTAACTAATGGTTAGGCAGAATTTTCCCGAGTCCTTTGTCTGTTTTATTATTGCAATTTGCTGTAACAGATATCCTTCCTAGAATTATCTTTTGCACAACTGTATAAACATGTGCAGGAGGGATAGCTATGGTCCATGTTGTACTCTATCCATAAGCTCCATGACCCATCATTCTTCTAGGACACAAGGTCATAGTTACTAGATGGGGGAAAGATGGTTACTCACTTTAGTTTTGGTTTCTTTAAGGTCTTCCTGGAGCTGTTCTCTTTCTACTCTGAGAGTCTCCTCCATATTCCTAAGGTCATCTCTTTCTTTTGTTACAGATTTCATAACTTCCAGGTTTTCTTGAAGTCTTTCAGTCAACTTTATGTTCTCCATCTCTGTATTTTCCAGAGTTAGTCTCTGAGCCTCAAATTGCTCTTTCAAATGTTCCATTTCACAAGACTTTTCCTGAGCTTCATTAATAACATCCATCGTAAGACACTGGTGTTCTTTTTCCTGAAGTTCTTGGAGCTGAGAAAATTAAAGTAATTAGGTCAACAGAAAGAAGGATTTACTATCTCCCTGTCTCTCTCTTTCCTCATTCACAAGAGTAATTCTTAAATTAAGGCCAATTATTTACATTACAAAAAATTATCTTAAGTTGTTGTACAAAGGGGTTTCAATTCAACATGTCAGTTTATGAGTAGAACACATGCTGTTCAATGAACTTCCACCATTCTCTCCGACACATTTTAATCTAATGTATGTACTTTCTTAAGGAAAACAATAATTAGGCGCTACTTTCCAGTTTAACAGAACAAGACCTATTTTTCTTATAATTCAGCACATGAATTTCCTAAACTCCTCTGACTTTTGGCTTTGCCTTTCCTGAAGCATCTTGTACTAATAGTTTCTTAGTATTCACTAGGATATATGCAAACAGTTTTCAATTTCTTTTCTATTTCTTTTGTGATTAAGAGAAAAATGAGTAACTTAATAGTGAACACTATCATGACAACTACCTTAACCTATTTTTGTTTTCAAGAACTGTTAAAGGAGGAAGACTTACTTTGGTGACCATGTCTTTCATGTTTTCTTTCAGCTGGTCCCTCTCCACTTGTAGGGCCTCCTGCACCCTTCTCAGTTCATCTCTTTCCTTAGTTATAGCTTTTATTTTGTCTTGACTTTCTTCAAGACTCTTACTCAGCTTGAGTCTGTCACTGTCTATACTTTGGAGGGCTGAATCTTTGGCTCCAAGAAGCATCTTGAATTGTTCAACGTCATTCAATTTTTCTGGAGTTTCACTGAGTTCTTTTACATTGATAAATTGTTCCTGTTTCTCATAAAGCTCTTGGATCTTCAAAATAATAAGTTAAATAATAAAAAATACACATGTACATATACATATGTACTATTACTATTAGATTTTGCTATTCCTGGGGCTTGAACTTAAGGCCTGGGTGCTGTCCTTGAACTCTTTTATTTGAGGCTAACACTCTACCAGTTAAGTCATAGCTCCCTCTCCAGCTTTTTAGAGATTAATTAGATAGGAGTCTCATGGATTTTCCTGCCCTGGCTGGCTTTGATCCTCAGATCTCAGCTCCTGAGTTGCTAGGATTGCAGGTGTGTGCCACTGGTGCCCATACACATATTTAAAGAAAAATAAGAAATGGTTGCTTTCCGAATGACTTCAGAATGTAAACAGTAGCTACCCAGTTATCGCCCTCCCTCAAGTGTTCTCCCCCTTTTCCTGGTCCCTGATTTACCTTTTCCTGTAACTTGCCATGGGCTGTCTCTAGTTCCTTTTGAATGTTTGATATTTCAGTTTCCTTGTCTGCGAGGTTCACTTTCAGTGTATCAACAATTTCCTCTTGTTCTTTCAGGCAACCACGGGTAACTCTGAGTTCTTCCTCTGTTTCTAGGTGCTTTAGTATCAGAGGAAATTAAAAAAAATTACAGAAGCAATAATAATTATAATAGTGTAATTGATACCTTCCCATAAAGATTTAGTTTTATGAAAATCTGCATATAAAATGTTTTTAGAAAATACACAGTGAAAAGATGAAACCTACTTTTGCTGTGATTTCTCGTATGTCTTCTGTAAGTTGGCTGCATTCTGATCGAAGAACTTCCTGTAATTGCTGTAGGTCATCCCTCTCCTTCGCTAGTGACAATAATTTCTTGTGACTTTCTTCAAGTCTCTCAGACAATTTGAGCTTTTCCATTTCTACTGTGAGCAACGCAGAAGCTTTGGCTTGGAACTGTGCCTTTAACTGCTCCATCTCACTCATCGTTTTGGTATTATCTTTTTCTTCCATATTCAAGGACTCTTCTCTTTGGTCTTGAGCCTCTTGGATCTTAAGAGAAACATAAATAATACAGATGACATCTAGAGATAGTTTAGGGAGAAAGAAGTTCATTTTTTTTTTTTAGAACAACTGAGACAGGACTCAATGACACCTTTACAGAGTAATCTTTCTACTATCCATTTTTCCATTATTTAGACATTTAACACCTTTTTTTTTGTCGGTTGTGGGGCTTGAACTTTGTCCCTTGGCTCTTCAGCTCAAGGCTAGCGCTCTACCACTTGAGCCACAGCGCCACTTCTGGCTTTTTCTGTTTCTGTGGTACTGAGGAATCGAACCCAGGGCCTCGTGCACGTGAGGCAGGCACTCTACCACTGAGCCACCTTCCCAGCCCTGAACACTTTTTTTTTAATTGAAAGATCATCGTTATCAATGATCCTCTTAAGAGATCAGGGATCAAATAGTACTATTTACATGATTTTACCTTCTTGAGACTTACACGTGAGTGGTAAAGGTAGACATTATTCGTAATCTTACCAACAAAGACACTGAACTCCCAAGCCTCAATGTCACACCTGAATATTATGAGTAGGAGGGACTTCCTAGAAGATAAGATAGTTTTGGCTGAGGTGTACAGGATGACAGCATTCATTACACAAAGACTGTGGAAGTATTGTATTGTCAAGAGCCTATCCAGCCAGAGCTCCTGAAAGCCTAGAGTTGAAAAGCACAGGTGAGTGTTGTTGGAGTACAAGGAATAGCAGAGTGAGCTAGGCTGGAGAACAGCAAGGTGTGTAGTCCAGACTCTCCCAGACCACATGTAGTCTAGTCTTTGTTTCAAGAGTAGCAGTGGGATAATAAATGTACAGGGCTGGGAATGTGGCTTGGTGGTAGAGTGCTTGCCTAGTATGCATGGAATCCTGGGTTCGATTCCTTAGTATTACATAAACAGAAAAAGCTGGAAGTGGCGCTGTGGTTCAACTGGTGAACCAAAGAAAGTTGGGGCCTGAGTTCAAGCCCCAGGATTGGCAAAAAAAAAAAAAAAAGTACAGTGAATAGGGAGAATACAATCAGTAGGCATGATTTCCAGGTTTCTGATGGAATCGATGAGAATGACAGTAGTATGAACGGTTTTCCTTTTTAAAATTAGGACAGGGGCTTACCATGTAGCTCAGGCTGGCCTTAAACCTATTACCCTCCCATTTCAACCCCCATGAACTGAGATTATAACACATACCACCATGCTTGTCATAGAGGAACAGATTTGAAGAACTAAATAAAAGCATCCGCTTTTGGCTTTACCTATTCAATAATTTGGCATTGGTGCTTCTAAATCACTTTATAGCGATCTTCTTTGAAACACTGCTCTCCCAGTTTCAATAGTTTGTTAGCTTTTGCCAGCGATCATTTAATTTATTTCCAAATTCTCTTCCCGATCAGTTCATGATTAAAAGGCATTTAAAGAAAACTAGCACCCCCAAAAAATCAAATCTGAACACTTGATTTTGATAAAATGGGAGGAACACATGGAACTCACATTAGCCAAGGTTTCTCTGACGTCTTCTTTCAGCCGGTCATACTCAACTTGAAGTGCTTCTTTTATCTTTTTAAGGTCATCTCTTTCCTTGGTTAGAGACTGTATCTCTTCCTGACTTTCTTGAAGTTTCTTAGTCAGCCCGAGCACTTCCATTTCATTGCTCTCTGTTGGTGCTGAATTTGTGGTTTGGGAGTATTCTTCCAATAGCTCAAGTTTATTAATTGTTTTCTGTGTCTCACTGTCTTCTTTTATATTAGGAAGAAGCTCTTGTTCTTCATGAAGCACTGACACCTTGTAATAGTCATAAAGTACCAATGTTAGTATCTAGAAATCATTATCATCTTTTTAAAGAAGAAAAGGTCAGGACACTTTTCACAGCAATGAAAGTGACTTTGAATCTTTAGGACTTACTTCAGATTACAACACCACTTACTCCTTTCTTCTGAACTCCACTGTCTCTAATCATAACTTTACGACTTAACTACTACTTTCTTTCATCTTAGATCCAAGGTGAATCAATTCTTGCATGTTACCAACAAACTGTTATCTCAATCAGTTGTATGTGCCTTGTTTTTTGTCTAGTTTTCAAATGCTACAAGAAAAACTACAGCTGAACTATTTCCTAGTAAATGTACTGCTCAGATAGATCCAAAGCTACTCTCAATTTTCCCATGTGTGGACACTGATTTTTTTTTCTTTTGATCATGTAATTTTGCATATCATATCTCTTTTAAACTACATGGGAATTGAGGGATTTAAAAACTAGATCTACACTGATGAAAAATAACAGTGTCTTATTTATTCCTATACTTTTTTTTTGTCAGTTGTGGGGCTTGAACTCTGGGCCTGCACACTGCCTCTCAGCTCTTCAGCTCAAGGCTAATATTCTACCACTTGAGTTACAGTACCCCTTCCAGTTTTCTGGTGGTTTACTGGAGATAAGAGTCTCATAAACTTTGCTGCCAGGGCTGGCTTTGAACTTTGAGCCTCGATCCTCAGATCTCAGCCTCTTGAGTAACTAGGATTACAGGCATGAGCCACTGGAGAGTAGCTTATTCCAATACTCTTAATGTGGCACACAGGTTTTTAACATGGACTGGTCTGATTGTCCCAATCTTCCATTTCTTCTATAGTGTTTACTGTTATTTGATGTTACTTTGATTGCTTACTCATCAGCTTTCTCATTTTCCTGCAAATGGCTACAGGTTTCAGACTTTCTCTAACCATTCAGATTATATTTCTATAACCCAGATTGTCAACATGTACCAAAAGAATAGAGTTTAACTCAGTCACTACTTATTGCTTATCAAAAGAGAAAGGAAGGAAGAAGTAACAAGGGAAGGAAGATGAAAAGACATACCTTTTCTTGTAAATCAGTATCTGACTTTTCCAAGTCCTCCTGAGGCTTCACTATTTGAGCTTCTTTCTCAGAAAGGCTTTTTTGTAGTGCATCAATTGTGTTTTGGTGCTCTTTTAGATGCATGCGAGCAATGTTTAATTCTTCTTTTGTTTGTAGGCCCTTAATTGGTAAGTGAAATTTAAAGACTATTATCACAACATTATTCTGCCATTGCCTCTCTCTCTCTAGTTGACTGTCCTTAAAGGAAAGTTTATCAGAGAAAGAAATGGGGTACAACTTACTGTAGCTTCGATTTCTCTTATATATTCTTTAAGCTGGTCTCTTTCAATTTCAAATGATCCCTGTAATTCCTTCAGTTCATTTCTTTCTTTGGTTATAGATTTAATTTCCTCATAATTTTCATGTAGTTTCTGAGCCAACTCTAGCTTCTCTCTTTCCATATGTTCCAAAGTTAATTCTTGATTCTTTAATTCATTCTTTAGCTTGTCCATTTCATCCATCCTTTTCTGCAACTCACTCATCTCTTCTTTTGTGGTGAGAAGTTGTTTCTGCTTTTCTTGGAGTTGCTGGCTCTTAAAATGTACAAGTTTTATAATTATCATTTTGACCAGATCTTCCCAATTATTTATGTGAAAACATGAATACAATATTGCCTATAGCCCCAATATAAACAGACAAGCAGCATTTACAACTCATTGATGTATAAAGGTGGCATAAGAAATCACAATGAGTGTTGTTGAGCAATATGGGATGGGAAAAGAGAGTAATAGAGAGGGTTAATCTGATTAAAATATAATATATACAAGTAAGAAGTACTGTGATACAATTAATATGCACTAAAAAAACAATGAGAAGAAAGTAAAGCAGGCTCTGTTGGTTTGGGGGAGGCAGTGATTGGCAGAAGGGGAACTGGAGAGGGTAAATGAAGTGAAGATGGTCAAAGTACTTCATTTGCATATATGAAAACAGAACATTGAAAGTCCTTGAAATTATTTTAAGGGGATAGGAGGAGAGACAAGAGAAAGTGACAGAGGAGGTGACTTTGATTGGGGTACATTGTATGTCTGTACGTAAAAGTCACAATGAAATTCCCCCTGTATAACTAATGTATTTAGGTAAAAAACTTAGTATATACCCACATACTATGTAAATAAATAAATATATAAATTTATATATACACACACATACATACACACAATAAACAAGGCATAATGGGACACTTTCTAATGTTCCACCAAATATGTGGGTCCCTTTGGAACTTCAAAATGTGAACTTAATTGGAAATAGGCCCTTTGCAGTGGTAATTAAGCAAGGACGAAGGGCAGATCCCACTGGAAGTGGGCATCATATAAATGAGATGATAGAAGACACAGAAAGGATCCAAAGAGACCCAGGGAAGAAGGTGGCTTGTGGATGGAAGCAGAAACCAGAATGGTGCAGTAAAAGCCAAGCAGTTTAACTGGGAAACATGAGAAGGCAGAAGAGACAGAAAGATTCATGGATAAGTGTTTAGGGGAGCATGGCCAATTTTGGACATAGACTGACAAGAATCTATTTCTCTTGCTGAAAGCGATTTAGTTTGCAGTAATTTTCACTTTGCATACTTAGAAAATTTATACTTTACTTAGAATATCTATATATTTACTTAGAAAGTTTATTTTTACGTAGAAAATTTATATAGGTTGATGAAGGAAGATCAAAGTAAAAATAAAGGCAATAGATGAATCAAATACAATCTTTGGCTACCAAATAGTGGTAATTTCACACCATCTTAAAAACTTAAAAAAAATTTGTTTTTCACTTTTAATGAGCTACTTAAAGGGGCTGTGCAAAGAAACTCAGAAGCATAAACTGTCACAGGCTGTTGAATTCTTTTTTTTAGGTTTTAGTAAATTTAATTAAGATAGTGAAAAGAATCACAGTTAAAACAGAGGTGGCACAACAGAAACCATGATGTATTATCTAGAATGGAAGTATGTAGCTCTCAGAGGAAACAAAAAGGCTTTGTGGTTACATGCTAGAATCACTTTGGGATTATGGTTATTGCAGGAATCTTAGGTCTTATACACCTACTACTAGAGCACCTAACTTCCACAAAGGAATGATTCATTTAACTGAAAGCCTCAAGTCATCAATATGTTTGCACACAGGCATAGCCTTTGTTTTGTTGACAAGTGCTCAGGACAGCGCCTGGTTTGTAGTAGGGCTTAACAAATGTATCATGGATGATACATTACATGATTAGTGTAGAAGACATAAGGCCTCCTCTCACCTAGAGGCTAGAATAATATAATCCTCATAAGGAATGTTAAGTTCTTAGTATAAATTCAAACTGTCTAAAATTCCAAATGCCCAAAAAACCAACAGCCTGAAATCTGTTTATTTTGGAAATATATGCTATTTCTGGAATTAGGTCTACAATAATTAAAATTACCAGAAAAAAAGGAATAGCCAGGAAAAAATGGCCAGAGAAGTAATTTTGAAAATTTACCTTTTCCTTTACCGTTTCTTCAATGTCTCTCAATCTCTCATGGGCCCTAGCTAGCTCTTCATCTTTCTTTATGACTTGGTACTTTTCTTGTGCAACTATCTCTTGTTGCTTTTTTAGTTCATCTCCAAGCATTCTTAATTCTTCCTGGTTTTCAATGGTCTAAAATTAAAGGGGGTGGGGGGAAAGGTTGAGATTAAAATAAATATTGGCTCATGTTTTATTAAAAAAAGGCATTTATCTTAGCCCACAAATCAAGAAATAAGAGCAAATTCCTGCAGAAATATTTAAGAAACAGTGATCTATAGGGACGTTTTCAAATCATTAATTTCAGCATATATAGATTATATTATCTCTCAATATATATGTAAGAACTAACCAGGTGTGCAAATACTCAGAAATACCAACAACTAAAAACAAAATTAAAAACTTAAGAGAGTTAAAATAGAAGCATGCAAATTTAGGAAAGTACATAAAAGGCCTGCACACTGAAAATCTGTGTCATATCACCAAGAAAATACATGATTAGAAGACACAGAATAGTAAATAAATGTATTAAGAAATGTCCCAACCTCCTGTCATTAGGGAAAAGCAAATTAAAATAAGGTACATCTTCATTAAAATTAAAAGCCCCAATAAATATAAAGCATTGGTGAGAGAGGACACGGAACCATCAGAATTTTCTTAATTTACTAAAGGAAATGGAAAATGGAAAAACTAATCTGTAGCTCAGACTAGTAAATTCTCTTCAGGTTATGCACACACCTCGGTAGGACACAGCAGTTCCATTTAGGTGAGAACATAGGTACAGACATGTGTCAAACTTGTACTTCCATGAGATGAATTCATTGTTCACTGAGTAGAGCTCAATGAAGTTGACAAAACTTAAAAACTAAAAGGCATTGCCAAATATACAGTGCTAACTCCTACCATTTCAATATTTTCTTTTAGGTCCGTCTTCAGTTGTTCCTTTTCTGCTGTAATACTTTCCAGCATTTTTTGGAGTTCATTATTCTCTTGGATTAACGAGTGTATCTTACTCTGTTGTTGCTCAATTGCCTCCTCATCCTTAATATCTGCAACCAGTGTTTGGAGGCTTTGGGATCCCAAGTTCGCCTCTTTATCTATGCAGGCCATCTAAAATAGAATACAACAGAGCAAGGGAAGAGAGGTCATTATCCAAAAAGAAATGTACTGATTCGGATGTGAGGGTGATCTGACTGTGATCTCTGTCACCCCATTGATGGTCAGGGTTGATTCGACTGATCTGGCTGGTAGATGGGTGTCCCCTTCCTCCCTCACCGCTCCATGTGCATCCCTCCGGAAGCTGCACACTTGGTGGAAGAGGATGACCATCCCCGATAGGGGAGGACCAGACTTTAAGCAGTTAATGATAACTATCTAACAGTAACAAAAAATAGCCAATAATATTATGTATCAGTTACTATTCTATCTTAACACATTTAATCTTCACTATAACCTATGACTTCAAAACTTTAAACATTTATCTGTTTTTGTGAGCTGTTACCAGAGCTTAAACTCAAGACCATTGTGCTTTTGCTTGGCTTATTCTACTTATGGCTGGTGCTCTACCACTTGAACCATACTTCTAATCTGTCTGTTTTGCTGGTTAATTGGAGATAAGAGTCTCATGGACTCTTTCTGCAGAGAGCTCAGCTTCCTGAGTAGCTAGGATTACAGGTGGGAGCCACCAGTACTTGGCTTTGTTAAAAAACTTTTAAAACATAGCCTAATCCCCCATGCTGTTAACAGTCTCTTCAAATTGTAATTGCTAGTCGATGCTTATTCTCTACTATAAATAAATGATACTTCATTTAGCCACCTTCTTACTGTTTACAAGAGCCATGGCCATGGTGAGCATGTTTGGGATTGGTGTCACGCATGTGAGAATTCAGATTCTAAAGCAATAGTATACATGAGTACAGCCTAGACAGAAACAGTGTTCTGTAATGACAACAGTTCAAATTGGAATTCAGCCTTCTAATTAGTTAACATAATCTAACAGGTCTAATTACCAAGACAAAATGTCCTTCAGGTGAGACCAAGCTTACAGTTTAATGAGCACTTCAAAATGCATTCAGCATAGACATACCAATACAGCCCTCAGCTTCTCAGATGACTAGAGAGAGGGGCCCCTTGGAATACCAGCATTTCCAGTAGTATGATAGTGACTGTTTCCAGATAGCTAGTAGAGAGGACTTAGAATGTTCCAACATGGAGGACAAATGTGTTTGTCCAAAGTGATTTGATAGGTCAGTTATACTAATCTGATCATTCTACACTGCATGGAAGTGTTGCACTATACCTCATAAATACAAGCAATCAATGCCAATCAGAAAAATAATATACATAAAAACAAAAGATAGGGGAATAATAATCTTTTGGGAATTAGAAGTTATGGGTGGGCTGGGAATGCAGCTCAGTGGTATAGTATTCGCCATCTCAAGGAAGAAGGTGAACATGGCAGTGCACCTGTCATCCCAAATGTTGGGATGTCACAGTCCATATGAATACACCCAGGCAAGAAGTGAGACCCTATCTTAAAAATAACCAGCACAAAAATGGGCTAGAGGGCTGGGAATGTGGCTTAATGGTAGAGTGCTTGTCTAGCATGCATGAAGTCCTGGGTTCAATTCCTCAGTGCCATATAAACAGAAAAAGCCAGAAGTAGTAGCTCAAGTGCTAGAGTGTTATCCTTGAGCAAAAGAAGCTCAGGGATAGTGCCCAGGTCCTGAGTTCAAGCCCTGGAATTGGCAAAAAAAAAAGGGCTAGAAGTGTGGTTCAGTGGTAAGGTACCTGCCTAGCAGGCATCAGCCCAAGTTCACACCCTAGTCCTCCTCTTTCACCAAAAAAGTAAATATTCAGTACACATATATCCATTTATTTTAAAGATATTTGAAGAAAGTAGAAAATTCTGTTAAATGACATCTGTATAAAATTTAGGAGTGCCGGGCGCTGGTGGCTCATGCCTGTAATCCTAGATACTGAGGAGGCAGAGATCTGAGGATCATGGTTCAAAGCCAGCCCAGGCAGAAAAGTCCTTGAGACTCTTATCTCCAATTAACCACCAGAAAACCAGAAGTGGTGCTGTGGTTCAAGTGGTAGAGCACTCGCCTTGAGCTGAAGAGCGCAAGGATAGCGCCCAAGCCCAGAGTTCAAGCCCTATGACTGACAAAAATAAATAAATAAATAAATTTAGGGCAGTGTCCTTTGAAATGGACTGAATTGTGAGCTCTAATCAACTTTAGTATAGAATGTCTGACATAAAATAATTATCAAAGCTATAATTAATAGTAAACAATCTTTTAATTTTGTTAACCTTTGTCACAAAGGTTTAGAAAGTATTTTTTAAGTTCTGATACACTAGTATACAGAAAAAATTAGAAGAAATACCTTTTCCTTCCTTACCTTTTGCTGAAATTCACTTGTAGTTTCTCCTCTGTTCTCTATCTGTACATTTCTGGAAGTCTCTTCAGAAATTTTCATTTTCAGTATGTTAACTGTTTCCTGGTGCTGTTTCAAAGACTCTAGGGTATTTCGCAGTTGTTCTTGAGTATCTATATTCTTTGCCAGAGAAACAGAACAGCTTCGGTTACAATGTGAACACATAGTTTTAGTGTTTCTACTCGATCATAACTGATAAATGGTGGCTCCTGTAATGACTCTTCAAAGTTTAATCAGTTATAGCCATACCATGTTTATAGTGTCCTGGATGTCACTTCTGAGCTGATCTCGTTCTATTTGAAGGCTCTCCTGGATGTGCTTTAGCTCTGCTTTTTCTTTAGTTAAGGTTCTCACTTCTTCCAAGGTTTGCTGAAGCTGCTCAGTGATCAGTGCATTCTCTCTTTCTACATTTTGTAACCTCAAATCTCTACTTTTTACTTGTTCCTTCAGGTGTTCTAGGTCATTTAACATTGCTTGATCCTCAGCTGTTTTCTGCTGAAGCTCTTGGTTCTTCTGAGAAAGCTTCAAAGCAAAACATAAATCACACAGTAAAAGTTAAACACTGTTGGCTCACAGCTGTTATCCTAGCTACTTGACAGGCTGAGATCTATAAAGATTGAGGTTTAAAGCCAGCCCAGGCAGACAAATCCAGAAGAAACTTATCTGCAATTAACTTACAAAAACCTGTAAGAGAAGGTGTGGCTCAAGTGGTAGAGCATCATCCTTGAGTGAAAAAGCTAAGCAAGAGCAGAAGGCCCTAAATTCAAGCCTCAATAATGGAACAGGAACAACAAAACCACCACCACCAAACAAAAACAAAGTACTCTACAGCAAACTAAAGAAAGCTAAAGATGATTCTGCAATATTTTGCACTAACCTCAGTCTTCAAAGCATCCAAACTTAAACCAAGGCTTTCTGCTTCCTTAGACAGAGTTTCCACTTCCTCATTCATTCTTTTATTCTCCTCAAGGACCGTTTTATATTTTTGCTCCAAGTCCACATGAAGAGCTTTAAAGTTTTGAAATTCTTGACCAGAAGTTGCTAGGCCATCTTTAGTTTTCTCAATTTCTTCAAGTAAACCTTGAATTGTACTCTCCTTAAGAGCCACTTCAGAAAATAACTTGTCCTTTTCTGAAGTTATTATATACAGCTCTTCAGATTTCTCATTTATCTATGGAAAGAAAGAATTAAGATTTAGGAATGTAAACAATATGATACCATGAGGAAATTTTCAGGAAAGAAAAAGTCATCTAAATTAGGTAGATCTGACTGAAGAAAGGTCATTATCGTAGGGTATCCTGTTCCATTATTCTACCATGCAACTCTTCAATACATTGAAACCATGTGCCCTGCCCCACTGCAGGAAAAAAGCCTTCCCACAATCGGACAGTGTTTGCAGACACTAAAAGAATCCTCGACAAGGGAAATGTCAGAGTACACATAAAAACATACTTTTCCCAGTGAGCTTTATGTTAGCTGAGCCTGCAGTCTTTAACACTAGGTGATGTTCTATGCCCTGGTCTGCACCAATTCTACTAGAATAGTGGATTTAGAGCTATATAAATCAGCATACCCACAATGCTCCATAGTCATCCAACATTCCTTTACCCTCATTAGCTCATCTACTAGTCAAGCTGGATTTGTCTGAAGCTGTCCAATTCAGACACTTGTTTCATATCCCTGGGAAATCCACACAACATTAGCTCTATATGTTTAGTTATTTGCAGTGTGGGGTAAAGCTCTTGGCCTTGTTCACACCAAGTATGTACTCTACCACTGGGCTACATCCAATCCCATGACTCTCCTTACTGTCACAGTTCTCTAATTTAGCTGTGAAATGTCATCTTCTATGCTTTCTTTTCTAATCTTTGGGTCTTGAAAGGAGTGGATGGAGACAGGATAAATCACTCTTTTGTAATATAAATAAAATCATAAAATCATAGACTGGCACTTTATGGTTTTTCTCAGAATTTAAATTATTACCTTGCCTTTTTTTTAAACTAACATTTTTGAATACAGCGTAGATTCCCAAAGACTTAATAAATCCAAGAGTAACTTCACTAATACTTGTTTAAAACTACTGTTTATATAAACCATATCTGGTTGGTGGGCAGTTTAATCATTGTGAGCCATAAAGGAAGAGAAAGATTAGGAAACTGAACTAATGTAGTAAAAAGCAAGAGGCCACATAGCCTGGAGGTTACAGCCATCGGCTATAAAGGCAGCTCTGGAGGCTCAATGATTAGTTCAGTAATTTGGCTAATATAATAAGACCTACTTTTGTACTTGGTCTTTGCCTGAAAGCTGAGAAAAGACTTTTTAAAGGGTTACAACTAAACAAAATACTGCTTCTGGAGTTCTTTGGTAAGAAGGTTAGTTACTACTCAAATTCTTTCAACTTTTCTTGTAGTCACGTAGAGAGAAAGGAAAAGCTAGGATATAGATGGATAGACTCAGTCGTCTGGAAGA